CATAAAAACACAAATTCTGCGATTGCACTTATAAGAGGTATCTAGAGTAGTCAAACTTACAAAATGGAATGGTGGTTGCCAGGGGCTGGGCGGGGGGGGGAATGGGGAGCTGTTTAATGGGTAAAGTTCCAGTTTGGGAGATTGTTTGCACAACAATGTCAACAGCCTTAACACTACTGAACTTCACACTTAAAAATGGTTAAGACGGGGGCCGGCCAAGTGGTGCGATGGTTAAGAACTGGCTTGGGACGCCAGAGGGCCCCGGTTCAGATCCCACATATGAGGGCTAGTGACACTGCCCTCTACAGCTAAGATGCTGAACAACAGCTCAACCTGGAGCTGGGCTGCCGGGAGTCGCCAGTGATAGTGTGAGCCGGCGTGAGCGGCCATCCAATGGCTGGCAAGCGACTTCCTCACCTGGGAAGAGCGCAATGATAATACCAACATGGGCCAGTGAAGCGACATCCTCCACAACTAGACTTTAGAACTAAAGGACAAACTCATCTGGTCCGCTTTCCCGATACCCCAAGGCTGTCCCCCTCCCCCAGTTCCCCAATAAAATCTTAAAAAAAAAAAGACATCTGCATACCCATGTTCATAGCAGCATTATTCACACATTAGCTAAGACACGGAAGTAACCCTAAGCATCTATCGACAGATGAGTAGATAAGCAAAATGTGGTCTATACACACAATGGAATATTATACAGGCCTAAAAAAGGAAGGAAATTCTGACACAATGCTACAGCATTGATGAGGCTTGAGGACATTGTGCTAAGTGAAATAAGCCAGACACAGGAAGATAAATACAGTATTATTCCACTTACATATTTAGAATAGTCAAATTCATAAGAAGAAAAGGCGGAGTGGTGGTTGCCAGGGGCTGGGTAGAAGGGAAAATGGGGGAGTTACTGCCTAGTAGGTACAACAGGTATAGAGTTTCAGATGCAGAAGATGAAAGAGGTCATGGGAATGGATACACAACAATATGAATGTATTTAATACCTCTGAACTGTGCAGTTAAAAATGGTAAGATGGTACATTTTTTAATGTGTCTTTTATCTAAATAAAGAATAGAAAAAAATGACCATCAACAAAAAAACATATAATTGAGGTATATTCATGCAGCGTAATACCCTAGAACAACAAAAATGAGTGACCTGCGAGGCACTACACAGATGGGTCGTGCAGTGCCGACTGAATAAACGAAACACAAAAGAGCATATGCTGAATGATTCCATTTGCCTCAAGTCCAAAAGCAGACAAACTAAACCGTATTGTGTAAGGATGCGTACAAGCGGGGTACAATTCTAAGTGAAAAGAGGGCCACGGATAAGGAAAGATGACCTCTAGTGGTACCCAATCTTGGCACTACCTCAAAATCACCTGGCGTGGGTGCGGATGTGGGAGCTTTGAAACCTCTGGCTGTCCAGGCCCCATACCGCGGTTTTGGTTTCATTGTTGGTGATTCTGGCCTTGGGCACCTGTTTCCAAAGCTCTGTAGGAGTTTCTAACGTGAGGACAAAGTTGAAGGTGAAGCCAGAGGGCTGTGAAGCGGGGAGCAGACGAAGGGCCTTTGGGGTGCTGGCAATGGTTTTCCTTGACCTGGGTGGGAGTTCACAGGTATTAGCTTTGTAATTTTTTATTATACTGCACACGTATTTTATGCCCTTATCTATATGTCAGCTCTTCTCTCTCTCCACAGCATACACGTAGGTGTTCCAGGGCCCACATCTCACAGTCATTACTTGGAGTTGCTTATCTACAAAGTATTCCACACGGCAGGGCCGATCGCAGCTGGTCATGTCCTTGTGGCCGAGCTGTCCGTATTTACCTACAGTGAAACGAGATCCTTGGCCATCCAGTCTGCTGGGCTCAGGGCTTCTCCCCTCCAAGAAGGAAAACCAGCCCATCGACCCAAAGGCTGGGCACCCTCCTGTGGGTGTCTGCTGTGAATTCAGGAGCCCAGCGTCACAGCCTCCAGGCCAGGCAAGCCAGGTGCCCTTCCCAGTTCCCTGCTCCTAAGCCCAGATGCTCAGAAGATGGATTTTCGTTTTATCTTTTTCTCTACCCAGTGCCAGATCAAAAGATGTTTCATACAGGCTGGCTAAGTGTTCCCCTGAGAGAAAAATTTTTCCAGAACGGTAGATAGGAAGTACTGGTACCCTGTATCCCCCAAAATAAGACCTAGCCAGAAAATAAGCCCTCACATGATTTTAGGTGCCAAAATATGGCACCTTGGCATACTGAATATTTTAAGCTTTAGGGGTTTGTGGAAAACGCACCCTTCTCCCTGAAACAGGTCATAAAACCCTCATGTGAGGGGTGCGTGCCCTCCATATCCTGGAGGAATCATGCTATGGCTTCTTCTCTGGCTAGGTCTTATTTTGGGGAAACAGTATCATCAGACCCTCTGAGTGAGCCTAGGTCTGCTCTAGAGAAGGGAATACACAGCTCTTCAGTCATGGTCCTGCCGTGTGTCAGCATGGCTCTTGTCACTTACCTTCTACTCCCACCTCTCCCCTCCTCTTGGTTTAAGCATCACAAAATCAAAGCCTTTACTTACCCCAACCCCATGTGTAGAGCTCTCCCGTTCCTGCAACGAAAAGGACAGTAAGGGGATGTCACCACTGCTCTTTGACAAGGCGTCTGTCTAGCGTGGCTTGCCACAAGCCACGGCCGGTACATTGGAAATCGTCATGACATTTGGCATAGCACGACATTCTGTCTCTCTCTTGATCTATAACAACAGTCTAATTACATTTGGGGTGGAAAGGGTCCAGACTGAACAAGTTTACCTTCCTACATGCCAACTGCTCAGCCTGCATCGCAGTCACTGAGTTCAGGACTGTCTGAAGCTGGACTGGGCAGGCCTGCAACCAGATGAAGAGGCTGGCAGGGGACAAGTCTGCCTGTGCAGAGGCTGGAGCACACTAGCCTGTCTCCAGAGAAGGCGCCTTTGGGGCCTGATAGGCTGGGAGCCACGTGGAGATTGGGGCTCTATTTGCTGAGTGAGGCAGCTCCTNTAAAGTGCAAACAAAACAGAAATAAAGTCACAGGTACAGAGAACAAACTGATGGTTGCTAGATGTGAGGAGGTTTGGGGGATGGGTGAAAAAGGTAAAGAGATTAAGAAGTACAAATTGGTAGTTACAAAATAGTCACAGGGATGTAAAATACAGCATAGGGAATATAGTCAATGGTACTGTAATAACTATGTATGGTGTCAGGTGGGGCCTAGACTTACCAGGGTGATCACTTTGCAGCCCGAATAGCTCAGTGGATAGAGCCTGCACTCTTAACAAGTCTGCTGGTTCAACTCCCACATGGGATGGTGGCTATGCCCACCCGCAACTAAGACTGAACATAGCACCTTGAGCTTAGAGGCCACGAGCTGCTGACGGGAAGCCAGATGGCGACTGGCGCCCTCCACAACGAAGACAAGAACAACAACTTGGCTGGTCCCCTTCCCCAATTCACCAACACTGTTCCCCTCCCCCAATGCCCCAAAATCTTAAAAAAAAAAAAGAATACTTAGGAATAAACTTAACCAAGAAGATATAAGACTTGTATACTATAAACTGTAAATGACTATTGAAAGAAATTATGACCTAAGTAAATAGACATCCTATGATTACGGACTACAAGACTATATAGTTAAGATGGTAACAGTCCCCAAAGTGACCTATAGATTCAATGCAATCTCTCTCAAAATCCCAAAGGCCTTTTTATGTAAAAGTTTATCCTTAAATTGATATGGAATCGCAAGGGATCCAAACAGCCAAAACAATCTTGGAAAAGAAAAAATTTGGAAGATTTACACTTCCTGATTTCAAAACTTACTAGAAAGCTAGAGTAATCACAACAGTGGGGCAATGGCGTAGCAATAGATATATAAATCAACAGAATAAAGAGCCCAGAAATAAACCCATACTTGACAGTTGTGCCAAGACCATGCAATGGGGAAAGAATTGCCTCTTTAACAAATGGCACTGGGCAACTGGATATCCACAAGCAATAGAATGAAGTTGGACACTTATCACAGTATACACTATGATAAAAATTAATTTGAACTGGATCAAAGATCCATAAGAGCTAAAACTATAAACTCTTAGAAGAAAACATAGGGGTAAATTTCATGACCTTGGATTTGGCAATGGTTTCTTAAACATGACACCAAAAGCACAAGGAATAGAAGAAAAATAGGTCAACTGGACTTCATCAAAATTTAAAACTTCTGTGTATCAAAAGACTATCAAGAAAGTGGAAAGACACCCACAGAACAGGAAAAAAACTACAGAAAATCTAATAAGGGTCTAGTATCCATAATATAAACTCCTACAACTCAACAACAAAAGACAACCCAATTCAAAAACAGGCAAAAGACTTGAATAGACATTTCTCCAAAGATGATAGTCAACAAGCACATGAAAAGTTGTTCAACATCACTAATCATTAGAGAAATGCAAAATAAAACCATAATGAGTTATTACTTCACACCCCCTAGAATGGCTGCTGCCAAAAAAACAGAAAATACCAAGTGTTGATTAGGATATGGAGAAATTGGAACCCCGGGTGCACTGTTGGTGGGAATGCAAACTGGCGCAGCCACTATGGAAAACAGTATTGCTGTTCCTCAAAAAGTTTAAAATGACATTACCATGTGATTCAGCAATAGCACTTCTAGGTACAAACACAAAAGAACTGAAAGCAGTCTTGAAAAAAATATTTGCACATCCATGTTCATAGCAGCATCATTCACAGTAGCCAAAAGGTAGAAGCAACCCAGGTGTCCATCAGATGAACATATAAACAAAATGTGGTATTTACATACCGTATTTGCCAGTGTATAAGACGATTTTTTGGCCCTGAAAAATATGCCTCCAAGTGGGGGGTCGTCTTATATGCCAGGTACACTTCAGATAGACTGCCCATAGTGCTT